GATTGGTGTTAAAATTATCTCCTGCAGGGTGATCATCGCATCCCAGTGATACTCTTCACCAAGGGCCCTAGGAAAGTGGCAGCTTGTCGGTCCTTCTCAACCAAGGATTATCGTTGATGACCACATGGGGCTTTGTGTTAAGCTTGCCCCGCGGTCGCCAAAAGCTACTATTCATGAACGCGTATACTTCACAGTTCGTGATTCTTAGCCGGCCAGTTCCTCATCCAGTAGTGATATGCAAAGAACGAACTACTTCAGGGAACCGTCCCACATATATGGCATTTTCGAAATCATATATAGGTGTCTGTATAGCCATATGTACTGCTACTCCAAACATGTAGATGTGACGAGTATTCAGTCTTCAACAAAAGCAAAAGCCTATCTGCAGTGTTTATTGAGCTGATAACTCTCAACAGTTCGACACAGGAGCAAAGGCTTCTCTGAGTCAGGAACTCTGGAGTAAGGAATGCATGCACCCGAGATAGGCAAGGTTTCCCAAAGATTCGCGTTTGCACAGTGCACCTTTAGCCCCTTGATTAATATATAATGCATGTTCTCAAAAGCCTCATAATCATCCTTTCACGATGCTAACTTTTTCATCACACCCCCAAGTACTTTTGGCAACCAGACTATGGTTGATGGAGTCTAATTTCATCCTAGGTCCTATCTCTATCAACTGCCTGACTTTTTCCTGCTACCAAGAAATGCGCGAATTGGGGTCACTCAACAGATCCGGGCTGCATATTATTTGCATATATTGGATCTTGATGTCCATCTAGGATCAACTCCGGAGGACAGGCAGCATTTACCAGGCGGGGGTCGATCATCCGTCACAACCCGTCGAAACCTGCTTCCAACGCCCTGTTCATCGTCCGCAATCCACTTGGCCAACTCACAACTGGGTGTATCTCTGCCTGTTTGAAATATGCCAATCATGGAGCGAGCATCTTTTTATGCCCGACTGGAAGATTCCGCAAGGAATTCTATTATGTCTGTGATTTGATCAATTTACGACGAACATGCCACCAGATCAAGCCATCACCAGAACTTTTACAACTCAATTCTCTGTCAAGATTTTTCGAAAAATCCATACATTTCGCATTTCCAAGTCTATTTGGTTTTTTAGCTTACTCTTGACTCAATACATAAATAAGGAGGAAACATAATCCGGAAGTTAAGTCACATTACGCAGTGCCTGCTTTAGGTTCACACTGCAACCGCCGAGTAAGTCATTATATTCCCTATTTGGTATGCAACGCCGACACCATCGAAATCATCAACACTGCCCAGGTGCTGTGAAGCATATTTTATCTCACATTTTGCGCGCGGTACCACATTATTTATTTTCTCTTAGGGCCCTGGACCTTGCTGCAGCAACCTATAATACCAGTTTTATATACACATCGCTTCAGGGTTTGAATCGCTTCGAAGTTCAAGCTCATTTGAATCTAGAAAATTGTGCTTTTCAAAGCATTTCTTTTTCCTATTTCAACTTTAGATCTGGAGAGTGGGGATTCAGAATAGATAATAATTGTTTCCTGTGAAGAGGTAAAGATAATCCAGCTACTCCAGCTATTCCCGCTACCGGTATTCCGAATGCAAATCAAGGCTGTTTTCGTGGAGTCACTCACATTCGGAGATTTAGTGGAGGAGTGGATCGCAATGAGAGCCTCGAGATATCTATCTTATAAATTGGATCGGGGTAAAGATCGGATACATCGATAACATCGCAACTTTTGCCGTTCCCGACACATCTTATGAAGGTTGAAGCGAAGCAACCCATGGCAAATACTTGATTTGGGCCTAATCGATCGAATAGTGGGAGCGATCATTGGGTTATAGTTTCCATTTTCACTCTTGGAGCAACGTTTTAATTCAGAGGCCCCGTTCGCTTCGTCGACAATCCCAGTTTTGGTCAACGATTATTATTGCAGGATCCATCAGAGCGAGTCTATTTAGAGTTCTCAGTCAAAACGACATCGTCCCCCAGGGATAGACCAAATCTCACCAATCTAAAATAGATCACGTATTTGGAAACACGCTTTGGCACGTAAGATAAAAGACTCAAGTTCCACAACGCCGGTAGTAGATTAAGTGAGCACTGCACTCCATAATCAGTCGCAGGGGGGAACCAGTCTATTTCAACCACCCCCGATCAAGTACCTTCATCGGGTCAGCGGCACTTAGCCTCGTTATTATTTTGCGAATTTTTCTGTTTCGGTGTACATCATCGCCAGGCTTATCAACTTTCCAGGCCCAGCCAGTCCACTGTGCTTAACGTATTGGGGAGCAATTTAACGATAGAGGCACAGAATGGATACATCGCATTCCTCTTTACATTTGCGCTCCAGTCATAGCAAAGTTTTCATCTGCAAGCGAGCTGAGTGGCCTGTCCATCGAAGGCCCAAAAATCATCCCATTCTTACAAAATTACCTGCAGACACCCGAATCTATGAAGCTAGCCTCTATAGCGTTTGTCCGCTAAACGTGCTGTACACTCATTGAGAAGTATTCTCTCCCTGCAAAGACTGTACGCCTGTAGTGGAAACGAGTCGGTTCTTGCGTTTACTGTATCTTATGTGTATTATTCTGCCGTCGTGATCACGCGGCAGTCAATTCCCCAACACTCGGCAGAAGCCACCTCGGACAAAATCTCCCCATAAACGTTAGACTATTGCAACGTCGTGGCTTTTCATTTCTTTTGATGTTCTTCGAAGCATTTTTCGATTGGCGCGGGATGATGAATATTGGTGGCGTCTCTGAAAAGGCGATAGTTGACGACTATTTTGTTGCTAATTTTCTTTTTCTTTAGCAACCCACCGGTAAACATCCAATGGCTGCAAACGAGCAAAAAGTCGGGGCTTGGGGCTGAAAATGGCTCGTCTGGCCTGTTTTGGTACAATGATCGATGATGCCCATCTCGACGAGGAAACAAGCTTAAATGTCGACTTCTTGGTTTGTGCCACAAAACACGCTGGGGAAATGTAAGCACAAGCACTGGCACTGGCACTGACAAACGGTTCCACCAACCTGTATCGATCGTCTCACGGCAGCCTTGGATTATAGCTGAATCAGTCAATTGAAGAATAAATTTATGGCCACACGCAGCTAGGGCTGAACATCCAGGATCAATTCGAAGCGCGCGGCCCTGCGTCTGCAATTGGGAAAATATGATTTCTATATCTTCACATACATTGTACATTCTTCCATAGGCCACTATACAGCCAAATATCACACACGCACGAAATACGACAGCTAAATTCCAAGTAAGCGTAAAAAGTATCCACAATCCCCGTTCCTCGAAATACATCGCCTTCGCCTTCCCTCTGCATAATCATTTCAAATAAAACCATGTTCGCACGTTTCACCCTTCGCTCACACAATCAGCACCCCTTCCACGATACCTGGCATCGATTACGATAGCTCAGGGTAGCTAATCTACTCGCCTACTTGACGCACAGCAATCCTTTAATTCATGGATAATCATTCAAGCGATGCACTCAAAGGGAAGACAATCCCTACCAGAAAATCTCAACTCCCTGGATACACGTTTACATCACACCGCATGCTTACGCTCCCCGGATCGTCGTGCGCGTCGTTCCCCGTACCAGATTTTTCGGCGCAACGTACTGCTGACAATGCGATATAATATGATACACAAAATCCTGCCCTGCTTGGCGTGAGGCATAGGGTAAATAGGAGATGAAATAATTATGAGATGGTAAGTCAAGATATGGAGATTTTCCGCGAGTGGCTTCGGAGTGACTCCCGTATGAGAAATGTGGCGGGAGGGCCTGAGATTTGTCAGGTTGATGCTGTGAATAGGAGATGTGTGATAGGAGTTCATCAGGGGAAAGGGGGTAGAAAAGGAGAGGGCATATGCTAATTGCTTTGAGGGTATTGTGGAATAAGGAAGGCTTTGTCGCGTGATTTGACGTGGATGCATCGAAAGAGATGCAGAGCGATTGTTTGGTGATGACTGTCTGGGGTACACTTTACCCCATCCAGAAAGAGCAGAAGAAGTATCTGTGTACTCGTCGCTATTGCTGGTCACAAAGCTTTTGATATTAATCACAACATCTGAAAAGGGAGATGTTCAACAAATGTCACATGACCTTTAGCATGCCGTCAAAGATGCACATTTACAGCATAACCTTCCCGATTCGATTTCAGCAAGCAATTAACTTGGTGTTTCGATTCAGTTGTAGTTAAAATTCTTGGGCGCGATGAGAAATTAAAATGTCAAAACAAATGCTCCCCGATTGATGATCAAGGCGGCGCAAAAAGTAGATGTGCAAATAGTAAATAATCATCTCATGGTTATTCAGCAGATACCATAGCTTAATCCACAGTGAGCATCGTCATCCCTTCCCCAGAACAGACGATCGATCTCATCCAGTTCATGCACCTACCAGCCTCATTAAAACAAGCATTCAAACCGATCGCGAAGTAGAACTAGTTCGTATGTACGCGAAGTAAATTTCCTGCATTCGAACACTAACGCTCAAAAGAAATTCGGCTCGAACTCAATGTAGAAGTTGAGGGAAGATATGAAACGCTCTATGTTTGGATTGGGAAATAGGCGGGATAAGAATTGTGTCATACCTTTTAAGTTGAGTTTTCAGGTTTGAGAAGCGACAGGGGGAGTACGGGACGGACGGCGGGGGTTACACGTTGTGTTACTTGAGATTAGGTGAAACTTTGGAGATGTTGGATATTTCTTCTTTCTGTTGAAATATAGTTGTGGGGGCTTGGGGGGTGTCTGGGTTTCGATTTGTGTATTTAATTCTTTACTTTTTGGGGTAGGTGGGGGGTATGATCGTAAACGAGGTTAAAGGACGCCAATGAGTTAGAACTTAAACAAGATGGACTGGGAAGACGCAATGAAAAATCAAGGGATCTGAAAGGTAACAAGATACTTTATCAATTGAAATGCGCACAGAACTTTGTATCACGAGATAAATATGAGGATCGTGAATCATTGATCTTCACGGGAGGAGTCATGGAAATGCGGAGACGGTGCAATTTCAACCTATCAAAGCTATAGAGACGCGATTTGTGCTGAATCTCAGATATTGAGTGCGTCGAGCATGCTATGTAATGTCTACCAAACACGCAGGACGGAAGGAATAAAGGTTATCATGACTTCATGCCTCATACCATTTCTATATAAATATTTGACGAATGCTCAATAGCTTTGGTTGTCGTTCCACTGAGCGGTAGGTCAGTAGTGTATTCAAAACAATCATGGGAGTTTAACGTACGTAAAGGGTATCGTGAAATACTTCCGGACCAGTTGCATACAATTCCCAACCAAATTTCATTCTCGCATACTGTATTAGATGACTCGCGACCTTGATATGCCCCACATCAGTTGGGTGGTACGCTGGCCCAATATCATTGTGTTGCATCAAGCCGGTGGTGTTGAAATAAGATACGAATGGAGCAGAAGGTCGATGGGACGAATAAGTGGAATTGGTATGCGGATTGTACAATGTTGGATTGGACAAGTATTCCTTGGAGTTGAAATATTGATATATGTTGTGAATTTCAGAGGCAAATCCTTGAGCTTGCGCGTAAGAATTTCCATAGGCAAAGAAACCCTCCCAGAGAGACTAATCGTGTCAGTGATGCTCATACGCAGCCTGTAAAGTTGGACGTACCATCAGAATTATTTGAGCATTGGGCCAGACAGCATGAATACCCTCAATCAGTAAGGTATACTGAGCGACGTATTCAGAACTAGTAACATTGATCGCCCCATTACTGTCATTAGTCCCCAGGTTGATCACTACAATATCCGCATCATCTTGCTTGGAGAAATCCCAAAGTTCTGGTTTATCGCCCCATATTTGAGTGGCACGAGGACTAGTATCAGAAGTATAGTACCACTGGTGAAACATTCCTCTAGTATTGCCCCAACACAATTGGTCGACCAAACAAATTCCCGGATATGCTGTGATGGAATACTCAGTGTTTCCAAGACCGGCTCCCATACCATACGCAAAGCTCGAAAGCCCTTCTAGGGTAGCTGTGTAACCCGAAGAAAGAGAATCTCCAATGAATTCGATAGTCCTCGAAGATTTGGGAACCTTGATCAGGCTTTCACCTTTACTCAAATGGACGGCGGAGATCTGGACACCATACGCCCAATTTGTGACTCTGAGCTCAAAAGTTGATGGGTTTATAGGCCAGCCGACATCAATCGCAGGAGATTCTGGACTAACCAGTAGGTGCGTGGCATTTTTAGTGATGTTTGTGAGCTGCCAATCCTGACCATTCACTCGATATCCAATCAAAACAGTGTCCGAAGTCAAAGGCCCAAATGTAATGGCGACTTCTTCTCCCGTAAATCCAAATTTGAGCCCGGGTGCTCTGAGGCTTGTTTAGTCTTCTCCCGCCTTATGGACAAAATTCAGAATAGATAACTTACGACCACCAAGAAACATATTTACTATCCCATCGTCCTTTGTAGGAGAGTTCTGGCGCGCTGGGAGGGTAATCAGTGAAGTCATGGTCATTGAGTTCTATCTTCGTGTCTGGGTAATTTGTGATGCGGACTTGATCATTCTGCCAAATTGTTGCAGTTACCACGCAGGAAAGAGATAAGATTATACTTGAAATCATAGACTTCATTTTGACAATGCGAGACTTACACAAACAACAACAGAAGGAATCGCAGAAATCATATTGCTAAGAAACCGTTACTTATAAGACTGAAGATATTTTGAAGCAATATTGGCAAGGTCACGATCGACTGCGGGGTAATTGCCCAGCGAGCGGAAATGAGGCATTTTGTTTTCCCGAGGCGGCTGTATAGTAGGTGCACCCTGTGCAGACTATCTGAAGAAGATGTGCAATAACGAGAACACTTCTCGGGACTGATGTACCGAGTACTGTCAATCACATTCACGTAGCTGCTCATGCACTACATGGGAATATCTGCACCGGAAGATCGAGCCGCACTCGCGAAGGTGTACACATGTACATGTATATATCGTGTCAATATTCAATGGCCCCATTGACACGATATGCATTTCCTTCCCTTGCTCCATACGTTTCTTCTCCGGTGGATGAAAGGGTATGATCTGATATTCTTACAGCAGCAATGAACAGTGTGATGTTGATATGGATGCCAATTTTGATGTTGATGAGTGGTGGCAGTTTTCAGGTTGATGAGATGCAGATGATATGATATTATACATGCATAATTTTACGAATAACCATGCATAAGTTTTATGTATGTACCACCATACTCAATCTTTCTTAGCACCGAATGACCACTTCAATTATCCGTATTTGGCGGGAGGAAGGTCGCACACAGAACGACCATCGTTGAACTTCTATTCTCAACCACTCATCACCATTTCTTTCATTCTTTCCCGTGTATAATTATATTTGTTTAATTGAATTATCCTTTAATACTAGACCACCACCTAACGCAAATCTACCCATACTTTATACTCTCGTGCGGAAATCACCTTGAATCAAAATACTGCAGAGGAGGGAACAAGTAAACGAAAAGAGCCTACTTATCGTTCTCAGCTGATCTATTCACTCATATATAAAAAGAAAGGCGTCCAAAATACCGGAACCGATTGTGGATCTTATATTCCCTGGTTTGACTGTCTCTCGTCCAAGCTCAGCTCTCGCGGAACCAAACTTTGAATCTATACTATCACCAGGCTAAGGGGGAAGGAACTCCTGGAAAATGATCTTTCCTGAATCACAACTACCATGAAGTTTACAGCGCCTTCACAGTTCTCTGTGAGGGTGTCGAAATCATCTAGTAGACTTCTGTTATCGCTTGGCATCATCCAGAATTCCTCGCATTACCAAGAGGCCTAGAACCAATGGCCTCACCTGCCCCATCTGTGCCAGATACCCAGCTCAACTTAACGGCTGATGAGATTGCTCTCCTTCGACACCATCAAGTCCAAGCTGCCGTAACCGCAGGCTCCAGCTCTTCTCGCGCAGCCTCTCGAGCCTCGTCACAAGGTCTCCTCCTACTCGATACCACTTCACTCGCAGCTCTTGGGCGTCATTTTGACCATCTCATATCACAAATCAGCGCGAGGCTTGACTATCTATCTGAGCAATCTGCTATTGTTGCACAGCAACAATATGATAATGCGGGGAACGCGATTGCTATGGCGGATGCGGAAATCGCACGGTTTCATGATATACTCCGGCAAATCGATGAGCTGGAATTGGATTTCGACCGTATTCGTCATATCAGGGATATTGTGAGGAGTTACCGACAGAGAGTTGAGGAAATGGAACAAGCTGTGGATAGGAGCGCTAGCGGGCATACGAGTGGTAGTAGACATCGGCATAGGCATCATCATGAGAGCTCTGGCAGTTCGAGAAGACATCGAAGATGAAATCGCTAGGCACAAAATAGTTGAGTTGGAGAACGGAACAAAAACTCTGGTATCGGGACCCTTGTATACTGGACCGATTGATGGTATAATGGAGGTGAAGGGGAAGCGGGCGGTTGTATTTGCTTGAATGGGCTAAAACGGGAATTAGTGGAGAAACCAGGCTCGGACACACTGAGAAGAAATATTTGCCTCACGGCTGGAGAAGGGATAGCCTCGCGGCCGGCGTTCGATTTGAAATCTTTGGTTTTTTGAGATTATTTTCTTTGAGGATAGCGCCAATACCCATCTTTGGGTATAGGGAAAGTTTCAGGTCTCGAATCTAGATATTTGGGAGTTTATTTCATGAATTTTGGGTGGAGCAAGCGATTGACTTATCATACTGAAAATGTGTAATTTATCATTCTTAAATGTGTAATTTTCTGGAGATTTTTACTCTTGATTGAACGGCTCGATCAATTTTGTTGAACTGGCAAGATTAGTCACTAAGTGTCATGTCGAGCCCCCTTTGAGATTCTCGTTTACGTGTCGTTTCATATGTTTCCTCTTGGTCTAATTATTGATGACGATAATATCATCTGGGGCCACGATACGATGAATAAACAATACCAGGGCACTTGAGACAAATAGCAATCTTGCTACAGCACTCACTCAAACCTTCATATCATGTACAAGCCAACGAAATTAAAGATTGAAAGCGTTCTTTACTGAGTAATAAAAGGCTCCCTTACTTGCTTCTCCATTTACCAAAAGTTTTGAAGATCTACAAATTGCCAAGATCTATAGCGTTGAAGATGATCAAAAGGCTAGTCAAAGGGCATTCTTTGCCCCTATGTCAACTGAAGGAGAAAGGAGGAAAGTAGCTTTCGCGGTTGTATATCGCATTACCGTGTGTATGAGTAGTCTCTTGATGAAAGAGTGCGTTCTGGATTCCTTTCTTGGAGACCCTTTGCATGAGGGCTTGAGGTAGGAAGATAAAGATATAGGTTGATTACCTTGGTGTAGCTGGGGACGGAGATCACATTTCGATAACATATTCTCAAGTGGGATTTTGATGAGTCAAAAGGCTTGGTTGCTAAGTTTCGTATTGCTGTTGATTACAATCATTTTCTATTTCTAACAGATACATCTACATATCAGCCACGTTGTTCCTCATTGATCAAACCGTATTCCTCCCATTGCTCTCCTTCACAGTCGCTGTTCAATCACACATTCTGATCCCATCTCAACCAGTCTGTTATTTATCTAATGTCAATCTACACCTGTCCCGCAGATCATCCCAACCCGCCGTCGCCCACCAGCAAAATCTGCATCAAAAAATGCAAAAAAAAAAAATGAAACATACAACAGTGGGGATTCGCTGGTGGTCACCCACCCAACTACTAATCCACCGATCTGAACCTTGTGTATGGCAGAGCGGACGGGATGCCCAATTCTCTTCAGTCTATGGTCGTATGTAACAGCTGATCGCGATCTGGGCTATATAACATAGCCGTAAGAAGACTGGTAGCTTCTGAAAAGTGTTCAGTCTGACAACGGACCGGCCCCCTATGATGCATCTCTTGACCTAGACCTTTACTTCTTGTCGATAGGCTTAACCATATTGTTGCTGTATACCAAAGAAACTTCCTGACAGGCGTCGGCCGATGTGACACGAAGGTACCGTCCGCGTGGATGTGACCTATGTAATACGATGAGGAAATATGACTAGCATTCCAAAGTATGTCTAGCGTAATACGTGGGCTAGCTTTATGGCATCAATCTTATCCGACTCTTGTGACTATGGTCGTAATGGCGAAAGAATGCCTTAGAAGTTCGGCAACGAGTGTCGCGCTCGATCCGCACACAAGACTAAGGAAGCGTAGGCAAGACTCGACTTCTGAGGAGTGGTAGACTCTACAAGTGTGCTGAGCATCTTCAGAATCGACACCATTGGATCTGAAGGGTCAGTCGACTTGTCTACTTCCTGGGAATGAGTGGCTTTTGCTTAGCCGGTAGATATGGACACTCGTACCCCATCCGGGGTATTTGGCCTCTCTGGGTATTTTACCTTATCCGGTGGGCACATGCGGTAGCAGGATGGTAATCCAGCTACACATTATGTGATCGTCCTCTTGTTGCCGAATAACGAGATTATTGCCAGTGCAGATTTTGATTGATATCGTCTATTTGATGATGATTTAAGTATCATAATACTGATGCAGATGATAACATGCGATCATGGATTTGTAGAATTAAGTCAAGTAGATTTTATTCCAGATTAAACAAACATAATATCTCTAAAATGTGCCATCCCATATCTGCAGCTTTGTAAAAACCACTTTCTATTGATTACAAGTAACCGCCAACAACGCTAAGAGGCAAAATAATGTTAATCCAACTAAGCTAAAGTCTTCAAAAGGATTTGAGCAATATAATATTGATACTTCAATATTTGATGACACCTTAGTGTAAGCAATAATATACTATAGTAAAACTGTGGCACATATTAATATATTGATATAATAATTAGGATATTTGAAAAGAGAGCTATTGTCACGGGATCACCTCTGGGAGTATTCAGAAGCTTTATCGCTGAGCTAAACGCCTAAAAGACTAGGAGGTAGAACTGGAAGTTCTATCTTATTCTCACATATATAGCAGGACAGGACAGGACAGAAAGGGCTTAGTATTACCTTGTGACACTACTCTCCTTTTTAAGGTATGGTCTCTATACTATCACCTACTAGGAGGTTTCAGGATTCTGGATTCTAATGCTTCAGGCATTCAGACAGGCAGACAGGATCTATATATGCTAGCCCCCAAACCAATGAAGGCTTGTAAGCTATAAGTGGGCCCCCCGCACAGCTCCACATATAATCAAGGGTAGTTCTATCTAATGTTACGGGATTACCTCTGGGAGTATTTAGAAGCTTTACTGTTGAGCTAAATGTTTAAAAGATTAGGAGGTAGAATTGGAAGTTCTATTTTACTTTTATATATATAGCAGGACAGGATAGGATAGAAAGGGCTTAGTGTCACCCTGTGACAGCTATATCATTCTCGTATTTATTTTTATATCTAATAAATACTAGTAATATAAAGAAATATTAGAATCTATTATAAATTATTCATTCCTATCTATATTAGGCTATAGAATGAGTATTTTACATAAATTGAATTAAGGAATGAACGTTCTATAGTACAATATAAATAGGAATAAATATATTATAATAGATTCTAGTATTTCAATTTATTATTAATAATATTGAATACTTTTAGTAATATAGCTTTCAATATTATATATATATATATGTTTTTTAACAGAAATAATTGTAAAGGGTTTTGGGGAAAACAAAAGAGAAGTTGTCATTTTGAAATATAATTATTGATAAAAATTGGAAAGGGGGTTGGGAGCCGAATCAGGATACGATATACGGGAAATACTATTGCCTACACTGGGACGCCCTAAGGAACGCGCTAATTTATAGCCCTCTTCCACTTTAGCCCAGTCACGTCTAAAGTGCAATCGATATAGAAGTGTCAGAATGCCTTCTGCGCTGTCAGATTGATCACGCAATGTGGGGGTGTCAATTGCAGAGACCCCAAACCCAAGCAGTTTGCCTGTTAAGATTGGCGGATCAATAAGTTCCCATGATCTTGAGTCAGGAGATTCGGAAGGGAGCCTCGGCGATTTTGAAGGCTTGAAGAATTGCTGCTTGATTGGGCTCTTTGACTCAGTAGACGATGACTTTATTTGGTCCCAAACATCGTACGATAGTCTCAAAGATTCTCGACCTAGATAGTAGGCCACAAAACCAATCATCCAATACTCTGCAAGGTCCACGGATTCTATTCCAGATTTGGGTTTGATCGTGGGCACTGAGCTGAGACCAAAAAACCTGCTCATGATTCCCGGCACGAGAATATCTTGTAAATCGCCGGGGCCAATCATGCTGATGACACCGGTAGTACGCGATAAGCGAGTTGCAACTCTTACCCATGGATCATACTGGCGATTAAGAAGCTCATGACAGTAAGAAATTATAGTCTGGGCATCTGCAGCATCTCCACAGCGACTGCGAGATTGGGGAGTCAGTATGTGACGATTAAGAATATCTTTGAAAACAATTGACCAAATTGAGGGATTAAAACTCATTTTGAGGATTTCAAAGGCATATACAGAAACAGAGTTGGAAACCAGGGTCAACAAGTTATCAAGAACAAAGAGGGTTGAGAATTGGTGAAACATACGGATCGTAAGGATGGAGGATGTCAAGCATCTTTGTCATTGATGGCTTAGGTGTGTCATCTATGCAAATGAACTTGTCTTCGACGCCCAGGTAAATTGCCATATTGAGGCTATGCACAAAATGCGTAGCCTCGAATTGGGCAATAGGACCCAGCATCCCGGCACCATTAAGTTCTAGGGAGGGAGGCTGGGTCTCGGGACTGCGTTTACAAAGTACTTTTAAAATAAACAGAGAGATGTTATCGCGCCGGACTTCTTTATCTTGATCTTGGAAATCTTGGAAGACTTCATCAACGATTGATTCAACTTTGGAGTGCTGATGATCGCCAGTCGTTTTCAGAATTTCATAAAGTTCAGGTAAGCTCTTCCAGTCATGTGAAACCAACGGTTTTGCACGTTCAGCACAATACTTTTCGATCCAGACACCCAGTTCATAATGACTTATCGCGAACGCAGATTTGTCTTTTGTCCGTTGGTCCTGCCGTCTTTCCATACATGTTTCGAGTTGTCTTAGGGCCCCTTCACCTGTCATCACGATGCCGTTGATAATGTCCAATACTTGTTCTTCCTCGCGAGAAATTTTTTGATCTTGTGATGCAAGCGGCTTATACAACATGTCGTGCTCGATTTCGGACCACACATGCATTATCAAAGTCCCGATTTGAATTTCAACTTTGATGTCTTTCCAAGGGGATCTTTTGGCAGGTAGGATGTCCTCAGTAGAGAGTTTCACAATGAGGTGGGTCGCTCTATAGCCTGGAAACTCCCCCTTCACGAGGTCTACTGCTTTTCCAGCAGCGCCAGGCTCATCAAGTACCTCGATGCATTTTTCGAGCTTCTGTGCAATGTCAGAATCCTGATCTTTGCGCCATTTACTGATGACTTCTAGTCGATTACTTAGTAGGCTTATAACTCGCTCTACATCTCCTGGAAAGTAAAGCGAGATGCGAAGGCCACCGAAGTCGTGTAAAGCATCGAGAATTTGTCCAGGGTCCTGAAATGATCCTATCTCTTCCTCACATTGCTCTTGACCCCAAATCCGGCACCAGCCCGGCCAACTCCAACCCTTTGATTGAACTGCAGTTCGAAGGCGTTGACGAGCTATTCGTTCTTTCTGGCGTCGCCGAAGAGTTCCTTCAGCGGACTCTCATTTCTTAATCCGATGTGTTATGGGAGGATGTCGTATGTTTCCTGATGCTAGAGCCTTGTTACAGATATCAATGACTTTTGAAGTGTAGGCTTCCATTGTATCTAACTTGCTGTCAAACAAAAATCGGACAGTTTCTAGGTGATGTTGGAAGCGATCCTCCGTGGTATCTTGAGACGCCATGATAGGAACTGGTATAATCAGTATTAAGGAAGCCGGACTGTATTTGTGACCGAAGAAAATGGTCAGTAAGATCAAGTATATCCAACGTGTGGGGTAGGCAGAGGCTTACCTCAGCCTGGAGTCAGCCTCAATGTTACCCTGTCTGATACCACCGAAAAATTAAGAGCCTAGTGGATACAATGTGATTCGCTAGGAGAAAATCGTTATCGTCGTTTTTGGGAAGATAGAAGCCTGCACTTTGACGCCAGATCAAGCTAGCTGCCATTTGGCATTGCCAGGAAAGGTGAAGAAGAAATATGATTTGTTGTTCAGTGAGAAGGAGAAAAGTGACAGCAACGAATAAATATCCATCAGGTAATAACCTCCAGAGATTCAAATCAACAAAAGTCTGAAAATCTAAGGGAAGAGAGTGATAGTACACAACCGAGACATTTCATCCTCCATTAAGAATACAACAACTCGCCTTTTTCTTATGTGCATAGTGAACGCCTGTTGTGATGTTGATTTGACTTCGCAAAAACAACGTGAAAGTTGAAAACAAGTTTTTTGAAGTTCGTCGGGACACAAGGTGGTTAGCAAGACGTTAGTTTCTTACTCAAGAAACCAGCAGTTATCAGGGGCGGTGACTGCAATTCTAAGTGGGACCGAGTTACTGTTCTATAAGAGAGTATGGTGAAAAAATTGATATTGAAAAGAGAGGAAGCTTCAGAACAATTGGCAAAGACAATGTATAAAAATTGTGGAAAAGTGATTCTAAACATTTTCGAGTCTGTACATCCAGGACTCTGGTCACCATGTCGTGTTAGACAAGGCCATCAATCGATTTATCTGAATTTGTAAGAGCATAAGATCACGCGGAGGAACAAAGGCATTGAGGAAGTATGTAGACTGCAAAATTCATGATATCATCATATTCGTAATTGGAGTCTACAAGCGCTTCATGAGCTCCCAAAAAACGACCCCACAACACCTTGACAGATCCATCAGTATTCCGCGCCCTCATCATCATCGCTCATTCCATTACGTTCTTCAAACACCAAGAATGGCGATTCTTCAGTCCCATCAGAAATTCTTTTCCACTCCTCCTCAACATCTACTAGGACTTGATCGTTGAAGGAGAGGTCTAGCTTGTCTTTGCTTCCTTGCTGCTCGTAGTATACGCTATAAAGCACTTGCCCACTGTCACCCTCTGTTGTCGCAAGAAACTTGAAGATGGCATCATCTAAAAGGAACTTTCCGGCCTGTGTGGTCGAAGATTCAGGAAGGAGAGTAGTGGCGTAGAGGATGCCTTAATCAATTGTCAGCTGTTTGTTTATGCAAAAGCGTGTGAATGAATTGGAAATGGAGGTAACATGATCAGAAAGTTTTTATATTATCTTCAATGGAATTCAGACAATGTAGATAAGTTTTAAAGTTTGTTCATCATATAATGCGTGCGTGGGTAGATACGAGAAAGGGTGATACTGACATTGACCTGCTGGGCATTCGCCAGTTTCACTAGAATGAGCCATAATATACACCGGATAATCCTGACTGAAATCGGATGCTACCAGAATTTTCGGTGGGAAAACGATCACAGATGCGGCAGAGGTCGGGGAGCCTTCCACTGTACTAGTGAAAAGGGATGCCAAAGGTGATGATACAATGGTCATAGCTTTGGCAACCCGGATTCCAACGCGAGGTGCATCATGATCGATTCGAGTAATATATCTGGTATTAACCTTCTCATCATTCGATAAATCGACTTCATATGTAGTGACACCTTCAGCCTCAATGCGGTTTGTACCACGGATGCCAGTCCCCAGAACATACACACCACCGCCTACCGCACCAGCTCTGCACGCGACTTGCGCAATTTCAGCGCCACCACCCCATTTCGGTACGACAGCTCCGAATCCAGGACCAAAGACGCCAATCGATGTCAGATGTCTCTGAATTCTCGGCAGCGCATATTCTACCTTTGTTCCCTCAAGTGTATCGAGTGACAAGGTCAAGGCTCCAATGAGTGTCTGCAAGTTCTGGGGAAGCTTAAAGTCATCCGCGAGAAACTGTGACAATCCCATATCAGCTTTGCCCTGCCAAACCTCAACTTGATTCTCATAATCCACGACAAATTTCAAGAATTTCATCAGTGATCGCTTGGCGCGATTATCGATACTATTATCTTGAAAGATATCTTCTCGACCTGACGGCAGACGTTTCAGTGCTGCATCATCATATAAGAACCAGCTACCGACAGCTTGGAATTCGAGTTGTTTGTAGACTTTTGAAGATACGAGGGCAGATAGGAGTGGTGATCGCGTGTATATTATTTGTGGTGAAAGGGTGAGATTGTATGCTCTCGAGAAGCTTAACTTCTCTTTGAGGGTAGAGTTGTACGTTGCAGAAGCATTGCTGAAAGTTGATGTGCCGCTCTGGGTATGGGATCGTTTCACCCAAGTGTCTGTTTCTTGCAAACTAAAGGCTGCTTCTTCGTCTCCATAGTATTCGTTATTGTCGACGTGTAATATCTTTTTGTTTGAACGAGAGAGGGCTCTTTATGGTACTATGTTAGTTAGTTTCCTTCTTGAGATTACCGCGTGTTCCGCGACCAAGCTCCACAACAGGGGGTGGAGTGTTGTGAGCTTACAAGGCAAGCAACGAGTGCTTCAAACCAGTTCCTTCAATCACCAAGTCCCATTGCGTTTCGCTCAACGATTCCATTTTTCTCGATTACGAAAAGTTTGTGCAATTTATAATTGAAGCTTGGTGGGTCAATCCTTGAGCTCACTAGCCCGATCGCTAAAACTTTACCAAGCTCAACAGGGTTTAGCGTCTTAAATCTTGAGCTTTGATAAACTTCTCGCGAAACTTTTTTTCTTCCTTTTTTTTCGATCAGTCGTCCGACACAATTCAAATCTTCTCATTTCTCATGAAGACGCGGTCGTACGGAAAAGTCTTTCAGTAGATTTTTCTAGTTGGACGAAAGACCAATTCAGCGTCCTGTATCTACTGCTCTGGAAACTATGTTCTGAAGGAAGCGGTTCGTAAAGGTGTGCTACATATCAAATGACGAAGGGAAAATATTCAAAAGGCTGGAATTTATTTCGGCGCCTTGGGTATTATCAGGCAAAAAAAAGGGGGGGTTCAATCAGTGACAATTGCGAAGACTGGGTCTCGAGGTTCTCCAGTTGTAGACGCAGATGCTGCAGGTTGTCGATATGCAGTATAACGACACACGTTGACGTGGTTCCGAATCTCAAGGAATACAAAAGCCGTACCTCTCTCTGGCCGACATGGATATAGTAGCTACAGCGTGCTATTTGCCTGTCTATCGGAGAGTCAGGTCTAACGGTCGTCCATTCACCTGATAGGCCTCGTTGTACTGAATTGCTGCCGCATAAATCTTGCCGCAGATTTACACAGCATCTATGCACTTATCTTATGTAGCACACAAATTCAAATGTTAACTCAGGAATGTGTTGTTTGTGATCATTAATTGTTTGAGATTATAAACAGTGCCGATTGATGAGCCTGCGATAGATTACAAATAACAGTTGGGTATGTACTCCAAACAGAGATGCCCACAAATGCCCGCCTTGATGCCATTGGTATAAGATATGTTGGGATTCTGGCCCTCTCCCGTTGACCCAAACACCGCCGTCCGTCCAAAATATATTGATCGTATAGTCATCCACTCCGTACAATCAACCTGCCCACAATTAATCCAAATTAAATGGCATAATTCTCCGTATGTAAGAAAATTTCGTCTTTACTGTCATCGCCCCAGATATCCGCTTGCAGCTTAGCAACCGTAGTTGCTACATTAATGCGCATTTCAGGAGGGCCGCAAACGAAAACGCATGTTCTCCTCCCAAAGATACCATGCCCGTCAGGTCCTCCGGTGGCCATCTCTTTCAACATATATCCTAGATCAGGTCGACCATATTCAGTAGTCCAGCCCTCCTTCTTCTTAGGTGCAACAAAAGCAAAACGCATCAGGTTCTTCTGGAACAAGGTAGGTGTTGAAGGGAAGCCAAAGTCAAAGGTTGGGTCTGGAATGCTATGTTGAAACTTTGACTGTGGAATTTGAAGTTTTAATTCCTCGGACTTCTGCCGCAAATGTGCAGGTTGTGGGGGCTTCAAAGAGGGCGTAATTTCTACCTCACTTGACATCTTCGGTGTGTCTTTTGCTGGGGGTATGGGTGTAAATTCTCGAGATGCGAATTGGTCTGAGAGTTGACCTTCCTCTGAGGATTGCATGTCAGGATTATACGCTTCTGCTGGATCGTCAATGTGGTCCTGAGGATTATAACTATTGCGTGCTGTATCAGGAACAAAGCTAGCTCGATTGGAATTCGTTGAAGGCGGAGCGTATTGAAAATGAGGAGCATCTAGCTTTTGTGGAGGTACTGGGAAATGGAATGATTCTTTAGAATCGCTTTGTGGTTTAGTAGCAAATCCTAGTGGCGACAAGAATTTCCGAGTGGCCTCGTGAGAATCTGGAGGGGGCGCCGCTAACAGAGAACGTCTTTTTTCCGAGTTCTTTGACTTAGACTCTGTTGTGGGTGGTGGGGGAAATGAAGTTTGTACATTGGGGTGTACTCTTGGCTGTAGATGCTTCGAGTGTGGTAATGATGTTATAGCATCTTCATCCTCCATTCTTAACTCTCTTTCCCTCTCTTCATTGCCTTGAGCTTCATCACGGATGAGAGCCGAGTTTCGTTTAGAAGCAATGCCCGCCACAAAACCGTCTAACTTATCGTGGAATGCTGTGCTTAGCGGTCTTTGAGCTCGTCCGGCAACATCTATCTTTGAGTATCGTTTTGCAGTCGTTACAAAAAATTGACAATTGATAGTATCAGGAGGTGCATATTCCCGGCAAATTCTAAGCTCTTCTCTGAACCAATCCATAGATTCCAGCCTTTTTAGTGCCCACACAACTTCAATCTTTTGAGTGACTGCCTTACCGTCCCTCATCCTCTTAATTAGATTTAGTAATTGTGAAACGATTGCCGTGA